CCGCTGCAGAGCAATGCCGGTTCGACTCGGCGGGACGAGCAGAGGTTGCTAATGGCACCCTGGGTTTAAGGGAGCCGGGAGGGCCGTTTGCCCGCTTGGAATGACGGCCTGGCACGGGGAAGTGTGCAGGGAAACTTTCAGAGCCGCCCAGGGCAGGAAGGAAGCATCCCTGATTAGGTTTTGCTCTTGCTCTTTGCATTGTCAGTAAAGCCAAACACCAGCGTGCCCGTAAATTTGGGCGAGCAGCCGCGTGGGTCCGGCTTGGCACGGGGCAGGGGCACGACCTGCCGGCCAGCGCTTAAGAGGCACGTTGGCCACTTGGCTGTGCTCGCTCGTCCTTTTGTCACTTAAGGGCAGCGGGAAGAGTGTCTTGTCTTGTCCGATCCTTGGGGTGCTTTGGGGAAGGGACTGTCGTGTGAAACGAGTTTCCCTCCTCTCGGTGAGTAAACGAGATCCCTGGTTCATTTCCTCGTTTGGAAGCGCTTAGTACGAGTGCTAGAGAGCCAACGCAAGGAGATGGTGGAAACCCCTTTGGCACACGTATGCCCCTTGTATGCTTCACAAGGAGCTGTACATTTTGGTCTCTAAGCACCGTTTTTATCCCCATTTTCCAAGGCACGTTGCGGATTCCTCCGTTTTCACTTGAACGGTGAGAATACCTCCCTGCCAGCCTCTCCAGCCTGTTGTACGAGGAGCGAGGACCTGGATTGTCCCTCCTCTAGTACGTAAGAAAGACAGCACCCGGTGAAGCCAGGAATTGAGAGTAGAGGTTGAATGAGGTTGTGTAGCCTGAACCGGGTTTCGGCCGGTTCTGGGAGTTCAACGCGAGTGCCTCCTGGGCTGGACACCGACCTTCCCTTGTTTGTTTGAATAAAATCTGCCACAGGAATGTCACGGTGACGGCCCGCTCGCGCATCCTTGTTTCACCTTTCCTCCACCTGTCCTGTGCATTGAGGCAGGGGTCCTGCAAATAAAAATCAGCCCGTTCCTGGAATTGGAGCGAAACGTGCATTTGCACAAGAGGACAGTATTTAAGCTGCATGGGCCAGACTTGTAAAGGAAGAGTGCTTGGCCTTGCAGCCTAACT